ATGCAGCTATTTCCCGTTCTACAGTGGAAATGGGAAAACATTACTATGGATTTTGTGTACAAGCTTCCTTGTACACATAATGGTTAGGATGGCATTTGGGTGATAGTTGATCGGCTTACTAAGTCAGCACATTTTATTCCAATGAGGGAGAAGTATTCTTTAAGTTGATTAGCTGAATTATTTATATCGAAGATTGTGAAGTATCATGGGGTTCGAGTTAGTATTGTCTCGGATCATGATCCCAGGTTTACTTCTAAGTTCTGGGTAGCATTCCAGGAAGCTTTTAGTTTGAGATTACTTTATAGTACAATATATCATCCTCAAACAGATAGACAATCAGATAGGACTATTCAGACGTTAAAGGATATGCTGAGATCTTCAGTATTGTAGTTTAGTGATTCTTGGCATAAGCGGTTGGATTTAATGGAATTTGCCTACAACAATAGTTTTCATTCAATTATTGGTATGGCACCATTTGGGGCACTTTACGGTAGGTCTTGTCGTACACCTTTGTGTTGGTCAAAGGTTGGCGAGAGAGTTTTGTTGGGCCCTGAGATAGTGGAGGAGACTACTCAGAATATTCAGGTGATTAAATCTAACCTGAAAGCCGACTAGGACCGCCAGAAGAGCTTAGCAGATAAACATGCCACTGACAGGGTGCATATAGTGGGTGATTGGGTATTTTTAAAGCTTTCATCGTGGAGAGGTGTGGTACGGTTCAGGAAGAAAGGTAAGCTAAGTCCTAGGTACATCGGACCGTATGTGATCACTGAGAGAGTTGGTGAAGTTACTTATAGGCTTGAGTTGCCTCCAGAGTTGTCTAAAGTGCATGATGTGTTCTATGTTTCCATGCTTCGTCATTATTTTTCAAATCTATCACATGTGATTCCTCCTCAACCTTTGGAAATTAATCCAGATTTGACTTATGATGAGGAGCCAGTGACGATATTAGATTGGAAAGATAAGTGCTGAGGAACAAGACCATGCGCTTAGTGAAAGTTTTGTGGAGAAATCACTAGGTGAAGGAAGCCACTTGGGAGACAGAGGACCAGATGAAAGATATGTATCCAAGGTTGTTTTATGATTATTAGTGGATTTTATTTATTGTGTGAATTTCGAGGATGAAATTTTCTTAAGGGGGTAGGTTATGACAACCCGTCCCGAATTATTTTAGAGGTGGACCAATATGTTAAGTCCTAATGGTTTGGACCCAATTAGAACTTAGATTTTCTTTGTTTTGGTTGGCTGCAAGCTGGACCACACCCTCACACACACACACCACTCCCATGTACCTTTTTTCTCCTTCATTCTCGGATTTTTCTTCCATTTTTGTACAACTATACGGACAACTCTCAAACTAACCCTTTCAAACATCATGGATTGAGGTCGTGAATGGTGTTTCTAGACTCCTTGCAAGCTTAGGAGTCGAATGGTGGTAGTGGTTGGACGTGAAAACCTGGGAAACCTTTGAAACCAGAATTTTCGATTTAGGTTACTGTTCATGCAGTCGTGATCATGGACTTTTCTTCGAGTTTTAGGGTTCTAGGGAGTTTTAGGACGTCTTCACGACGCTCAGGAAGAAAGTTGGAGTGTTTTGGACATCGGGAAGCTTAATTTTGGAGAGTTGTAGTAGTGGCTAGATTATCATGGGTTTTTCCGGCGAGATCCGATTGGATTTAATTCCTAAAAGTGGTAAGGTTTTGTTCTATTCGTTGTAAGCGTCATTTTGGAACAAATTTCATGGATTTTGGTTAAGAAATGAGAAAGACATGAAGTTTTAAAGTTTTTTCAGAAACTGGTGAAAACTCAAGTTTTAGATGACGGTGCTGACGGCGACAGACGGCAGCGACCGGTGATGCTCTCCAGAGAAGGAGATGAATATTCCGTCAGAGTTGATGGAATATTCTAACGGCGTCAGGTAATGCCGTTAACTTCTATTAAGGTTTTAACAGAATATTCCTAACTGTCGTTAACTGTTCCGTTAGGCTTGGCTGCGCGTGGAGGCACGTCTAGCCGTGCCTTGGCCGACAGTCGGAAAATTTTTCTAAAAATATGAGGATGTTCGTGATGTTGAGTTGATCACGTTAGTATATTCAAACACCCATTTGAGCAATGTATGAGAAGTTATTAGTTAGTTTCGTTTATGTGCTTTAAATTAACGTTTATATTGTTGTTTCGCATATAGGTGAGACCTATCCTCAGGACGAGCACAGCCAATCGAGGCTTAGGGGCTACGACCCTTCCACATACCAGTGAGTGGGTTTTTAGTTTTTCGTATATGCTTATATACTTTAGATTATTCCCAAAAAATCGATTTAAATGAATTTATGTTTAGAAATGCCATGCATATTGATTTATACATAGATCATTGAATTAATATAGTATGTATAAATGTGATTTGACGCTGTGGACGCTCAGGTAAGTACCAGGTGAGTTGTAGATTGTTTATGTAAATTGATGATTATGTGAGATGTGTTGAGAGCTTATGAACCTGCACACTGGTGTTAGTACTCCCCCCATGGTTAGGGCATGGTCCTTCATGTGATGTTCACCTCCCACACCATACGCTCACCTTGGATCCAAGTTACGTGCATAAGCTTGTCATACAGACCACTATAGGTGGTTCCGACTCGTGTGCAGACATGATTTATGAGCTAGGAGTTCAGTCGTCTATGCCACTTTAGGTGGATCCGACTGATATGTTATTTCTCATTGGTTTATTTTACCTGAGTTACTTATTCTATCATATTGAGATATTTGGGCATGGGATATTTATGATCAAAGCTTGTTGAGCATGGTTTTGAAATACGAATATATTTTATTTTCTGGGAAATTATACAGGTTTTACGGTGAGGGGTTAGAACATTTGAGAAATGAAATGGTTTTGAAAAGCTTTGTTTTTGCCCACTCACACTTTCTATTTTGCGTCCCTCCATGTTCTAGGTAGGAGTTATCGTTGGTGGCTTACGAGGATTGTTGGAGGTTTTGATAGATTTTACAAATGTAGGATCACCTTTGGGTGTTGTATAATTAGTACTTGTCCTGTCGGACTGCACTTAGGCTACTTATGCTCTGGTTGTGTATTTCACACTTAATCTCGCACTAGCACCTTTTCTTAGCTAGTATTGCTGGTAACTTGGTTTTTATTTATTCGTATTTCTCTATATCAATATTGCTTCCGCACCGTGCACATGGTTAAGTCACTCTCACATGACGACCAGCATGCCTCGATCTAGGTCGGGGTGTGTCTATGTAAAAGTTTAAATTATTTTAATTAATTATTTTGTTTTCTAGAAAGAGTGATTAATCAACTGATAATAACTTTTTTGTTAATTCAAAATTATATGATTTATAGTTATTATTTAGCATTATCTACAATAATAGGATTTATCTCCGATCAACTAAAAGTTGTTCCAGAGACTTATCTACCAAAAAACAGGACTATCTAAATCAAACATATTTTTAAACATTCCAAAAAGATGAATATTCATTTTCATATAGTTTATAATTGGGTACGTTTTAATTCGGGGTTGATACGTTTTCATTTGACATTGGTACGTTTTCATTTGTCGTGGGTGTACATTTAGATTTGAAAATTTTAAAATTTTAGACTTAAATATAATTGAAATTATTTAAAATGTATAGCAGATATTTAAACGTAAATTAATTTCAATTAATCTAACGTAGTTTAAGTCTGAGTATCTTAATTAAATGTTTCAAAAGCTTAATCAAAAACTCAAAAAGCATAAATGTTTAATCTACAAAAGTCTAAAATGAGGCATATAATTCTAATTTTCTCTTTTTGGAATTCATAATAATAGTTGGCTATGCAATCATGAGATCACTCTCAACGAAAGTTCTAAAAAATGTTAGGTGCTAGTCGGGCGGCGGAATGGCGCCTAGTGCCTAGGCGGCTAGGTGGGGTCTAGGCGGATTAAGGTAAATTTTTTGTATATCTTGTAAATAAGAGTATATTAACACATACAAAAAATTATACTTGTATGAAATCCTAAATAAGATAGTAAAAGAATAATAAAATGTGTATCTAACAAGTTAAAAAAATCAATAGCACTTAGATGCTATGAATTGATGGGCTGACAAGCTATGCTTTTTTAAATGAGAAAAAAATTATTAATAGCACTTGATGATGGATGAACTGATAGCCATTTTACTTTAAGAAAAGTAAGATGCTAGCTGTCCAAACTTGAATGGACAGAAGCAAAAAATAAAAAAAAATAAAAAAAAAGTTAAAAAATGATCATGTGGGTGTGGAAAGAAGAGAGAGAAACTAATTTTCTCTCTTCTTCCTCTTCACAAGCGCACAGATAAGAAGTTGAAGTCCAAAAACTGATAAACCAGAACATAGACCAGAAGCATTCATCCTTTCTCAAGTTCGAACACAGAAAAAATTGAAATTCCCAAACCGCCTAGCCACACAGTCGCTCGCCTAGGCCGCCCAAGGGCCGCTCAGGCCGCCTCGGTGCCCGCCTAATCCCTGTCCTCATTTTTCATTAATCCCGGCAATTGGCCACCGCCCAGGACCTAGGCGGCTGCCTAGGCCGATTTTTAGAACATTGCTCTCAACATAGTTTTGATTCTATATCTTACAAGAGAAGTCGAGTAAACTTGTCAATCTAACGGCTATAATCACATTACATTAAAGGAGATTTGTATTGTCAAAAAGTCCCCTGGTGTCCTAACAAGTTACTTATTGCTTTGTGTTCACCCAAATGTTTATTTTATCACTAACATAATTAAAAAAAAAAAAAAAAAAGAGCCACTTAGTACAACTGCCTGGTTGTATTCATTCATTTTCAGTTGTAAGTAAGAGGTATTAGGTTCGACTCTTGGTAAATGCGAATTTCAATTATTGCTAAATTATTGTGAGACTAAATCTCTATCTCTCATTTCGTGTAGATAATATCGTTAATTTAAAAAAACGAAAAGAAAAAAAAAGGAAAACATTTCAGCATATTTTGTGTAGGCCCACTGAGCCCAACAACTGGTTGACCCTTTGACTCATACGCGGCCCAGTTTAAGCCTTGAAATTTTGAGCGGCCACTTTCGTATCCAGAGACAAACACCTTTTCGCTCCCAATTTCTGCAGAAAACTCAAGGCTTCTTCGTTTCAGCTTCTCCTCCTTCAGTATCATTGGTAAGTAATTCCATCCTTTTCTCATACATCTCTGTTGCAAATTTTGTTACCCTTCTGAGATCCAATAAATTAGATGTAAGGTTCCAAAATTTCTGTGGTTATGGTTGTCTTCGTGTTTGATTAGATGGGTTGCTTTAATTTCTTCTGGGTTTTCTGTTTTGCCTTTGTATTGGTAGTTTCTGCTGGTTCTGGTAAATTTATAGCATGTATGATGGAATTGATTGTAGTAACAAAGTGCCCATCATGTGCTTGAAGAAATGCCCGAGTGGGTGTTGGATAAAGGGTGTGTCTTGAATCTTGATTGAAATCCGGAATCAGTGTGAAAAAAGTTTATTTCTTCATTTGGGTTTTTTAGTTTGAGTTCCTTCTGTAGATTAGTGCCCGTTTGGAGAATTTTGAATTCAAGTAAAATAGTAGGAAAACGGATTTTCGGTTTGAAGCTGAAAGAAGCTGGTAAATAGGCTCTTACTAGTACTTTGGGAGATTGGTTGAATTGCTTTAGTACTGAAATTGGTTCACCTTTGCTATGATATGAAAGAGTTGGTCTCACTTTATTGATTTCCTGTATTTAGTGGAATTTAGAGGCGTGGTTTAGTTGATCTGAACTCGTTGCATGCTTATATAAACGGGTTTTTCCTTTACGGTGATTTCCTTCATTTTACATGAGCTAGTGTCTAGTGATTAGGTTAATGCGCGATCAACGAATTTTAGGATGTGTTTACCATAAAGTAAGACGCCATATCTCTTTTTTCCATTCTCTCTGTTTAGGCAAGATATGGTGTATACCGTCCACTTAATGAATACATGTTTTAACATCAAGGCTGCTCTGAGTCGAAGCTGATGTTCTTTGTATTTTTTTTGTTTCAGTTTTTAATAGTTTATTTCTATTAGGTCTTCAAGAAATTTGAGAAATGGGTGGACTGCCGGCAGAAAATACTTCCTCTGCCTTGGTTTTGAAAGGGTCGCAGCCAAATCATGGGTCGGCAGTCACTACTCCTGCCCTGGACACAAAGCCGAAGAAGAAGATCTGCTGTGCTTGCCCGGATACTAAGAAGCTGCGAGATGAATGCATTGTGGAGCATGGTCAAGACGCATGCACAAAATGGATCGATGCTCATCTCAAGTGCCTACGCGCAGAAGGCTTCAATGTTTGAAGTTGCCGGAGATGGTTAAGATAATAAGTTGAGGGCTACATGAACAGTTTTGAAAGGAAACCATTTATTTTAGGTTTAGACATACAGCATGATAATATTAGAAATTTGAAGAATAATACATAGAGAGCTTCTTATTTGACTTGTATTTACGTAATTTTATCAGATTTACAATCACGCCCTTCAAAATTTATGAAGGTACACTATATGATCTCAAAATCTTAGACAAAATAATCCCTTTCTAACCTCTTATTTACGAGGACTTAAATGAAATATAGACGGCTAGTTGGCCCTATCTCAAAAGAATCAGGTGAAGCTATGTGAGAAAGTTAAGATGTATGACTATGCGTTTCATGTAAGCCCATTGTCCTTCTCGTACCACCAAACAGTGAAATGGGATTTCTATGTCTCGTTTTTGTGCCATTCGTTTTGGTTGCTCAAAGGAAGAGCAAAAGGAATCAAGACATCTTGAAGTGCAAAATAAAGAAGATGATCGAGCATACTACCAATCCCAAGATCCAAAAGGGTTTCAAATGGAGAACATATTGGACATATCCGTCATATTTGTCTTCATTTTGTTTTTTAATACAAACAGTGTTAACATAAGGGAAATTGAACATCAAACTTCAAATTGAAGTGTATATTAAACTACTTGAGCTATAAGTCCATCAATATCTGTAATATCTTATGTAAGGGTACGTGTATTACGTTCCTTCTCAACTTCATGATTAATTGGAGCTGCATCAGTTTCATGATTAAATGGAGCTGTGAGTACTTGTGTATTTTGTTCCTCTGTAATTCCTTGATTAATTTCAGCTGTGATGTGAAACTTCCTTGATTAATTTCAGCTATGATGTGAAACAAAATTATGGTTGATGAAAAATTAAGATGGTAATTAGGAGAGCCATAACATGTTTTTAAGTAATATCCTTTCATATAACATCACAAGGCCACGAACAAGGCCATTACATGACACAATTACAGAAATACAAGCATATGAGTGACATGTTTTCACAGACATGTCACTCAACAGACTCAAATACTGTAAACAACAACGTTATTTTTTCCCACATACACTTTTTATTAATTAAGGGTCTATAATCCCTTAATTAATATGACACTTTTATTAATCACATCTTTAATTTGGTTGTATGGGCTTAGTGACCACAGGTGCAGTTCACACATGAGCAGCTTGTGCCACACTTGCACTTTCCGTCGTTCTCGGCTGCAGGAGCGTCCACGACGACGGTGTCCATGGAGCTGCAAATTAAAGCAAGATGCATTCTCCATAATTAGTCTTAAACGTATAGTCGAAAGGAAATAATGAGAAGAAATTTTCAATCTTGAATGTTTATATTATATTGAAGTTTTTTAGAAAAGTACCGGTTCTCAGTCTCAACGATCACCAAGTCGTAGCTGTTTCCCTTCTTCCTGCAATTTCAAATAATCGGCATGTTAATGCTTGGATGACATGTATGCACCAACTAGATTGAAAAAGAAGAATCCAAAATGGACACGCTAAATATATAAAAAAAAAATATCACTAAACTATAAACTAAAACGCTTGATTAACCTTCCATCAATTTTTTCGTATTTAAGCAAGTAAATGATCTTGTTATTAAGCGAGTAAATTATAATTAATAATCCTTGTGGAAAACAATTATCCTTTATATTGGAGAAAGATTTAGGTGTCACCGAGATATATTCTTATAACACTCATCACGTAATTTGATTCGACTAGCGCTATAGCTAGGGTTTAGTCTGTGGTGATACATCTTTGGTGTCATACCATCAAAGATATCCAAGATCTCCCCATTTGTATAGTCTATATACATAAGAAAAACTTTCACAGGACAAGTACACTATCACCATAGCATCACGTGCTAATTAATCATTGTGCATGAGAGAAATTTATACTTGACCTTGTATGCAAGAATCAAACATCCATAAATAAACTGACAAAGAAGCACTACTTACACGCACTGGCTGCTGTCAGCACAATCGCAGTTGCCGCACTTGCCCGACATGTTGAAGATAAACTTAAGAACTTGGAGCTGAAATGTGTTTTAATTAGGGTTTTCGCTTGAATGGTATTTTGCTTGCTGTATCTCCAAGCTCTGCACCATCGTCCTCAATTTATAGATGCATGGGATTGGAGAGGGAAGCAGCAGGGTAGTGGGTACTAGTTGCTGAGGTGGGCCCTACAGGGTAAGGTGTAGGTGGGGCTCCCAAGGCATGAGAGAAGCACACGTCTGCCGACAAACCGTCCGAAGGAATCTTGACAATGGAGGGCTTGGCCTGCCATCCTCTCGTGTCAACTTCAGTTCTCTTTTTCAGAAGCCGACCAAATCACTTCGTACACACGCATATTGAGATATCTATCTCTCTCTCATTCTCAAGTTCTTAACTCATGAATTGGGGAAGATAATAAGTTAAATGTGAGCGTGCACTTTAGCCGTTGTAAAAGATTGATAGGAGAAACTTGCATGTAATCGATAGTATATGTGTCCTTGCAAATCTCTCGTAGCCTGATTAAGGATATTTTTAAACCTGAGTTTTTTTAGACAATTTCTGAAAGAGCTAAAACTGTTTACTAACCACCAACAAGCTTGTAATTGTTTTCAACAACGTTTATGCATCGTAAAAGAACATGACATGTGCTTCTGAAGAAAATATTTTCGAGTGTTTTTTTAATAAATACTAGCAATTAGACACATGTTATGCATATGCTTATTAAAATTTTAAAAATAAAATTTATAAAAAAAGGCGAGGTCGGATATGCTATTGAGTGAGGAGGACGGGGATAGCGTTATTATGTGAATGCTCTCACTCATGTTCTTGTACAAATACCATAAAAGCAGAGATAGTCTCCATGATGAGCACTATGAAACCCTAGGTTGCAGAGCAAACGAAGAAGGAGAACTTTTTTTTTTTTTTTTATGAACTGAAAACAGTATGATCTTACTTACATTCTGTAAGAAACGTTCAACTATTCTATTTATACTATACAATAATCTTCAGTAATTAAGATTAACACAACCAACTCAACTAATCATCTAATTAAACAAAATTAACACTAACTAAATAACTTCGATGGCTACAATCATATGTAATCGAGTGCTTACTAACATTTTGTCCTTTTAAACCCTTTATTTGGATAAAAATTATAACAATGCTATCCAAAACGACCAGTTCTCCTCCACTTTATGACAAGCTTAGGATCAATACTCACAAGTTTTTATTGTAGGACTAAATATTCAATTGGACTAAAGTTCAAGGACTAATGCTTAAAGTTGACAACTTCGGATTGAATAGCTTTGCGTTTTGGAGTCTTGTAATTTTATTATAATTCGCATGCAAATGTGAAGGACTTTTATGGAGGCCAAAATTCTGCTACAAGCCATTTTTTACTTCAAATTAAAGAACTAAAAAGGAGGGACAAAATAACAAGTCAGATATATGATGGTGTTTTAGTGCCACAATATTAATTCTTTTGCACAATAAAGATATCGATCAGAAGAAAGGGTACTTGATTCCGTGAACGTATTATTAAAGGAAACAAATCTTGAATGACTTAAAATTTAAACAATCAAATATCAGCTTTTTGTGTTTACTTACAATTTGTTTTGAGGTGATTTCACATTAATGAAGAAAACAAAAATGTACTAATCTTGGTAATTTTCAAGGCAATTGCTTCTCCGAGTAGCTAGCTTTGCTTTCAAAATTTTTTCAAAGGAAGTACAGCCTTACATTCCCATGTACATTATTTTTCCATCTCTTTATCCACAAGTAGGGAAGAAAGAAATATATCATTGCACCTGTCCTCCTCATTGCTACTCCACTTTCCGTATAAACTTTAAACCCTTTCTAAATCAAAGTTTGTATGAATACCTTGTGAATTTAAAGGAAAACCAAAATGATACATAGAAAAGGCCCAAAATTCTTAATTTTAAAATTTGATTCTTGAACTTCCGGATTATTAAAATCTCCGGCAAAGTTTGTTTATCAAGGCCTATTAAATCACCATATTCTCTTGGTACGAAACTCTTACTATCATCATGGACGAAGCCACCTTAGGCCCAGAGGGGGTGAATGGCCCCACTCAGTTTTTTTGGTACACAAAAAAATGTACATGCTTGTGACATTAGCAAGGTGTATAATTAGTTTACTTGCTCGTAACATTATCCAGTTGCAACTGCCAATGTTGAATGAAGTTGTCATGCAATGCTTTCAAAACATGAAAACACGTCGATGAATATTGTAATACGCTGTATGAAAAATCTTATAGATTAATATATAAGTATTTTGTTTAGTAAATTCTTTAGCCTTTTGTTTTGTGACTTTGTTGTTTAACAATACCCTCATCTATACAGATCTCTGACTTCGTGCCTAACTATTATTAATAAATATCGTACTGTATATATATTCTTGGTTAATGGAAGGAGCAAAGAAATTTGACCTCTAGAGGAGAAAAGAGTGGGGTTTGCGCGTGGCTTAGAAAGCTATATATGAAATCAGAGTTTGGATTCTTCAATGCGACTGGTCCTATCCAATGGAAAACGAAAATTGACATGAGCAACCAAACCCACAAATTCTCGGATGAGATTGAGGCCATGGATCCCTCGACTTCATTAACCGTTCATAAATAATGTATTTTTGCCTGGTTCAATGTTTAGAATTAGATTAGAATATAAACCTACTATTATATATATTTTGTGTGCACCAATCATGAGACAAACTAAATTTCTTTGAGCTGCAGAATGCTTATAATCTTAAAAAGGAAAAATGCTAGGGTTCTTATATGTAAGAAACAATTCTTTATTGTGGAAATTACAGTTTGATGTCCCCTCGGGGACACAATATGGGTGGAAATAAATAACTCATTAATTTATGAAGGTATTCCTTATTTTCTTAAATATTGTACATCATATTTAGTTTTTCTTTTTACGACATACAATTCAGTGTGTCTGTTTAATCAAGTTAAAGTTCCTGAATCTACTAATTCTCAAAAATAGATCGTACATTGTTCTAATGTACTACATTATTCTATTTTATGAACATTTAACCGAGCAAAAACTCTATTTAAATAAACCAAAGCCATTATAACATAGCACATCATACATACAACAATGACTTCTCATCTGAAAGGTGTAAATAAATAAATAATGAAAGATGAAATACATAAAGTATTGTGCGAGTACAACAA